TTGCATATTAATGTTAAATCTCTGGAACATTGATTAACTCTTAATTTACACTTAAAGCTATTTATTAAACATTTTAACCTTCTTTAATTATAAATCTGAATGAAATGATGTGTCTATTTCTACTTAAAACACAAGTTCATATTTCAATAAACAATAACTCAAATCCCTGATTGCAGTTGTTTTTCTTTTATTCCCTTGTTTAAGAGTAAATATACGTGGCTGATCTGAAATATATTTAGTTTAGAAATGTTTTTTTTATGGAGCTTGTTGAGTTTCAAAGGAAACAGTAAATCCTACAAACTGAAATGGAGATTAAGAGACTGATTTTTGATTCCTTTACGTATCTTTATATCGAACCCAAATGCGCTTGAGATTAAAGTCACAAACTGATTGCCGTAGGTTTTCCTTTTCAGGATTATTCCAGCAAGTTTCCAGATCTGGAAGAAGCTCAGCGGCTCCAGACCGTAACACGACAAAAACCACCTTTGACTTTAAGGATGGAGCATTTTCTGAACGTTTTTGTTTAATGCAACAAGATCGAGTCCTTCCAGGTTTGTGGTGTCCACGCAGCGCCATCATCAGGACGTTTTGTGACCAACATCAGATGAACCATTTTGTGTCAGCAGAGGTTTTCACCTAGAAACTCTCCCCAGGTTGTAATTTTTCCCCATTTCTTTCTTATTGCTGAACCGTGGGCTTTTATTAGCGAGTCCTGCGGTGCTGCAGACATGGATCTGGGTTCCTTAGCGAACTCCTGGAGGAGTCGTCAATGTGGTTCACTAGAGTCCCGATCCTTTGAAATGACTTTAATCCTTTCTAGGTTGATAGATGTCAGCGGCTTTGCTTTTAATTTATGTTTAAATCGTTGATTCTGAGATTTTCCACCAATTTCATGTCAGACATTTTACTGTAGCCAGTGAAACAGAAGTTAGCTTTTCAAGCTCATGCTAAATTCACTTTAAGAAATGGGGAGGAATTACTTTTTCCACATTGGTCCAGGTTGGTTGAGAAGGTTTTTTCCCCTTTTAATAATCAAAATCATAACTTAAAAACAGCATTTTGTGTTTGTTTCGGTTATTTACTGGGTTATCTTTGTCTAACTAAGAATCGATTTGAATGTTTAAAACAATTCAGTGTGATAAAACCAGAAATGTTTTAAATCTATGACTCACAAATCCCTGCCCTTCACCTCATGCAGTTTTTTAAACGTTCAACGCTTCAGTACCTCCGTCCGAAACAACTCGCCCACGAGGGTGAAACCTGCCGACTGCAAACGCTTACGACTTTTGTTTGTATTATTTAGCAGACATCTGCAAGGAAGGTGACTCGGTATTCTTGGAGCTCAAAGTGCTTGGCGGTGATACAGTAATTGCTAAAGACGCTGACAGCAAAATGCAGCTTACAGAGTCATTATGGAGCTTTATTTATGCTCCAGAGCCAGCAGGCAGAAAACGAGAGCGAGAGAGGAAGACGGAGAAAGGGAGGGCAGAGTCTCGAGCTACAAAAGCAGCTTTGAAGTCCAGCCGTCTCACCTCATCTCTGTCATCCAGGTCCACTGCAATTGATAGAGTGCCTCACTCACTCACTCACACACACACACAACACACACACACACAACACACACACCACACACACACACACACACACACACACACACACACACACACACACACACATTCGGCCCCCCGGTTCCATTAAAACATGGGCAGCAGGGGTGAAGTCCAAGACCGAGGCGCTGAGCCAATTGCACCAAACTGGTGGCAGCAGAAAGTCACATGAGTGATTACCGAGAGCTGCAGCAAGACTTTATGAAGACATTCATCACCAAGCTGAGGATGAAACCGAAGGACTCTAATGGTGGCGTTTGGGCTCCGAACATCTGCAGTGTTCGTTCCAATTGCTGTTCTGCTGGAGATGAAACAGATTCTCCAGTTGCTCGGCGCGCTCCGAGCGCCCCGCAGTCCTCAGCGATTCAACATCCCTGGACTTTGTCTCCGTGGACCTTCAGTGAAAATTGTGGCATTTTAGTCTTGATTGCACGCATATTTGGGGCCTGTGTTTTTTTTTTTTTTTTTTGTAGAAGTTTGGGTCAAACCTCACAGCGACTCTGCTGCGTCAGATGAAAAACTTAATCATATTCATGTGGGGAACGGACGGCCTATGAAACTGTGCTTATTTTACTGTACCACCGCGAGGACCGGGCCAGGTTCCTCCGTCCCTGACTGTGTCTCAGGCTGTGCGTGGAAATTGAAACTGGCATCTCGGAGTGTCTTTTATATCCATGCCAAACGGCTTTGATGACTTTCCATGTGTTTTCCTTGCGTGCCTCCAGAGCGGAGCGGTGAAGTGGTTTGAACGTGGTAGTCGCTGCAGAGAAACCCTTGGCCTCTGACCTTCATGTGAAGTCTGCACCGTGTAAGTGCAATGAGCAGACTCTTCCCCCCGGTCCCACCCACCCGATGCTCTGATCTAAACCTGGCAGAGGGAAAGAGAGATTTAAAACAATAGGCCTCGCTGTTCTGCTGATCAAAACAATCTCTGTCAGCGTGCCAGAGTTAAGTCTCTCGGTGTTTTCTATCGGATCAGGAGTGATTATCAGCATTCAAACAACAACTATGCAGCAAGAGACGCTTCAGCTTTCAAGGGACAATCTTCTCTGTGGACAGGAGCAAAACCATCGACCAATTCTGGGACTTACAAAAATACAAAACTTTACAAAGTATTTTTGGTCTAGATTCTGGTGCAAATGTCTTCGGACAATTGTAATAAGATAAAACTTAAATTTTCAGCAAGACATGGGAGTTTAATTAGAGTCAATTATTTCTTAATATTGATTAAAAAAGTGCTAGTTTTACTGGGAGGTTATTTCACTTATAACATGAGAAGAATGTTTTGTTATAAATGAAATAATCTACCAGTGGAACTACAACGTTTTCATCAACATTAAGAAAATATCGACTTAAAACAAGCTCCTATATCTTTCTGAAAAGATACTTGTAAGTTAGTTTTTTTCAGTGTACAAAGGTATTGGCATTAGAAACTATACAAAAACACTTGACAAAAAATAAAATTCTGTGTTTTTTACGATGTGACCTCTCATTATTGTTCTCGCTGTGACAGTCATATTTAAATTTGACGTCAAAAAGGATAAGACTGTTTCAAATCTACATGCCAAAACCGAGCTGACCTGGTAACACAGCAACCCTTTTGTTCAGATATATATATAAAACCTAAACATAGTGGTTAGTTTGTTCTTTTCTGCTACATGAAACCATCCTGACATTTTCAATTAGCAAACAGGCGCATATTTCAGGTTTTGCTGGTCTGGTGCTTGTTTTAGTCATCAGAGGCTCCAGTAAGAGTTTAGAAAGGTCTCTCTAAGGTTTTCTCTCTCAGCTCAATCTATTTAATACGGAGGCCCCTGAGGGACATAGGGACATTTTTCTTTTAATAAGTCTTGCATTCCATCACAACAAGCAAATACGCCCTGGTCTATTTTGTAGACGTTCACAAATGGCAATTTAAATTGCAAATGTGTTCACAGTATCTTAACTCTTTGGTGCAAAAAACTAATTGGAAATGGATTTATTCACCGCATGTTTGTGCAAGGTGGCGATGCAAGGACACATGAAAACGGCTCTTTATTAACCATTCAGTCAAAAAGACGCAATCAAAACTGAAACCCAAACCCTGATGGAAAGTTTCTGTTTACATCCTGAGATGTAAAGAGTCCGTGTTTGGCCCGTTTTGTTTTTACCCAAAGGTTTGTGGTGCATTTCTCTCCGAAAGAAAAAAATATAAAACTTCAGATATCGCACAAAGGAGGTGCATGGAAAAACTTTACGAAAACCTCATGTTATAGCAGAAAGTACGGCGGCCACCGGAAGAAAGACTTCAGTTATGCTGCATGAACTGATCAGAAACGCAAAAGAAAGAAAATCCTCCATGTCCCCTAGGGGGCGCCGTAGTTTGAAGCTGATCCGGCTTTGACAACAGAGAAATCTGGTTGGTTTTGAAAACATGATATTTATGTTTTCAAAGTTTTCTACAACTTTGAAAGTTGTAAAAAATAAACAGCCCTGGGAAGAAAACATGTTGACTTTCAGATAAACTGTTGCTAAGAAGATTTTAAGCTGAAGTTTCGTAACAGATTTGAAAAAGACTTTTACTTTTAAAATCCAACAGGTATCGTTGTTCAGGCTCATTTTCTACATTTCCAAGAGTTTTAATTAGTTAATTTTCTATTTTCTAGTATAACATGAATGGCATGTTGTTAAACTCCTAAATTTGTCTCTTTGTCTCCTTTTGTGTATTCCTCTTGAAAACAAATTATATATTGGTGATAAAAGGCTCCTACACTTTTCAAAAGTATTTATTTTAAGTGAAACTTAATTTACATTTTATTTCAAGAATTACTCAGCATGCTGACAACATTGGTAAAGTTAATGCCATTTAAAAAAATTGCATACTTTTTTCCATCTGAAAACTTTAAATTTCTCACAAAAAGTTAAAAAATCTCAGTTGCACTGCAGTAAAAATGTAAATAACACAACGACTCACAGGTAATACTGGTACTTTTGCAGGAACGTGGAGGATTTTTTAAAAAACTTAACAAAACGTTCATAATTCCCTCAAACTTTCAAAGACTTTCCTGCTGTCTCAATTGTGATAAACTAAAATACCTGCTTAGTTCTGAAAAGCTGCAGAAAAATAAATTAGTAGGTCCGATGAAGAACCCGGTAAGCTGCAGGAAAATACCTCATCAGTTTCTGGAAATATCCTTGCAAATATTTGCAAAGTACCTGCCAAATTTCTATGAGGTAATCACAGAAATTTATGGTAAAGTCAGTTATAAGTTCTGCAAGGTGCCAAGTAATCTCCAAGTTGTGGGAAAATATGGTCTGTACCGAGTGTTACCAAGGCTTTCTGGAAACACAAAATGGTGACTTCAGTCCAGGGAGACTGAAATTGCTTGGGGAAAATTTCTTTTTCACTCTCACCTGAACCCGAGCCTCTGTCAGGTCCGTCCTCAGCGCCAGTTGCTCGCGAGCGTAAACGTCTGGGTAGTGCGTCTTCTGGAAAACTTTCTCCAGCTCTTCCAGCTGGTAGCTGGTGAAGGTCGTGCGGTTGCGTCTCTTCTTGCCTTTGTTGCTCTCCGCCTCGCTTTTCTCCAGCGGGCTGGAAAGGTCGGACCCCGATCGCTCGCTTGGCCCCTTCACAACGGACTCCTTCAGGTTCAGGTAGCTGCCCTCCATCCCAGGAGGATCCACACTTGGCGGAAGCTCAGACTCTGTCAGGCCACTGTTGTCTTTTCCTGTGTGTGTAGGGACAGGATGGGGAAGAGAAATTTATGAGGCTATTAACAAGTTGCAAAAATGTGACCTTTAGATATTTGGGAATAAAATTGATGAGTGGCCACTGGAACATTTGAGTTTTCTTAGAACTTCTGCAAAAGAAGGAGAGTCGCCGCTTGGCAGATGCTAAAGGGCGTAACTCAGCAAGCATCACATTCGGTTGGACTGTTGTATTTTTTTGGTTCTCCTACTAGAAATATGAGCAAATAGAGATTTAAAAAAACATCAGGTTATTGTGCAGCTACTGACTTAGCTTGTTAGATAAAAACATAATCATGTTCTTGCTGTAATGATACTAATTTCACATAATCGAACATTTGAACATTAATCCTGATATTTTGATTGCTTGTGAGAAGCAGTTAGTTTTTGAACTGCCTCACGTTTCTCTGCTTGTCTTCATGTTACAATTTAAAATAAAGTAGAAGTAATGGTTCACTTTTCTTAAAAGCCTGAAAAACATGAAATTTGATTTTGATCATTTTCCAAGTTTGGATATTTTTGGAAGAATAAAAATTTTGTCTTGAAGATAAAAATAAAAAAAAATTTCTGGAAAAATAAACATCTGCTTAAAATGATTTGTGCTTTAAAAGATGACTTTTACTTTGAGTTTTTATCCATCTTTTCTGATATATTTTTTTTTACATTTTTGGCTCAAAATCAACGAACATGTTTGAAAAATTAAGATCTGTTTATTTCTGTGATGTCTGATGCTTTTTTTTTCACCTTTATACAATTATGCTTAATAGATTATTTAATCTTGGACGATCTCGTCCACATTTTTCAATATTCTGGAGGTTTTACTCACCCAAATGCCCCAAAATCTTTTATAAGGCTGTGCACTTCCCCTTTAACACGGTTAAAAATCTGAGACACCTTGTAGTTTCAGGACTTGTGGGAAAATAATAAAACCTACCTACACAAACATGTTTATTCCTGATTAACTAGTTAGCCCAAGCTATAAAACATTGAAAACTGACACGGGAAAAGCTTAGATATGAACGGAAATCCTGTGGGAACCACGTGCATCGTCTCACTCATGGCTTATTTAGAGACCTAAAGAAATGTAGCATAAATCTCAATTGCTGAGAAGAAGTTCCTTCTTTTTTCTTGTTTGAATGGTTTGTCACAACACATTGGTAGTGACCTGTGACATGACCTGCAAAGCCTCCTCCCTATCATCTCTCCATCATGCTACGTGAAATCCGAGCTACGTGAAATCTGCTCCATCTTGAGATCTGTTTGGTGCCGATGTGGAGGGGGGAGAATCGCTCTAAGTATTACCACAACCAGTCTGACGACATTGTGTTTGTCGCCTTCGATTTCTCGAGCGTCCATTTTGGGACAGAACTCGCTCTGTTCCCGTCAGGCCGCGCTGCGCTACCTTTTACTGTGTCTTTCTGAGGAGACGAAGAAAGCCGTGCCTTCTGCTTCAATAAACAAACAGCCATGTGAATAAATAAGCCAAAGGGCTCTGGTTGCAGGCCGGCGAGAACACTGAGCTCGGTCAGCCTCTGTTTGCCTTTCCTGCAACGGGGAAGGGAAGCACCTCATCCTAAATGCACCGGGCGTTTAACTTCTCATCATAGGAACACATCTGTGGCTCTTATGCTTCCAATTTCATTTGCCCGTGTGCATGTATTTTAGTTTGTCACTTTGTATTTCAGTTTGGAACAATCAAACTCCTCCTTGCAAACTGTCGAGGGAGGCAAAATTGTAATTTCTGGCAGTTGTGAATCTTGTTGATGACTAAATATCTTTGGACTGATGAAGCTAGGCGGAGGCTGTCAGCAACATCCATGTTTGTTTTTACAGATTAGCTCTGCTTTGGCGAGAGCCTCCTTCAATGAAATGTCAATATCTATTGGCCGGAAAGCTGCAGCAGCAGCCCTCCCCCGGACTCTGTCTCCAACCTGTCCCAGCTGAGACGCTAATGGAACAGCACAGCTCTCCCAGCTGGAGTTCGTGACCTCGGATCATCACGATCTACCTGTCAGACCTTTTTATGGTCTTCCCGCAAGCAGATGTTCTGACATCACCAAGCCCTTGAATTTGGCCTCTTCTCCTCATGCACTGTGCAATATTTTTGTTTCTCCTCCCCTGAGGAGGAAGCATAGCTGCCATGTTTGTGAAGAAAGACAGGTCAAATCCAAGTTCCTGCCTGGCATTCGTGTCCGTGAGGGAAAATACAGCTATTCCCCGAGAGCAAGGCCCATATCCTGTCAGGCTGAAGGTGCACTAGGCAGCAGGAAGGTGTCCGGAAATATTTAGGATTCTCGTTCTTTTTTTATCTCCATTTTGGAATAAATTTATTCCAAAATTTATGGAAAGTTATTTACTTAAAGCTGGTATATACTCACCTGTAAACAGCTGCATATCAGAGGAGACAGAGAACCAGGAAATGTCTCTTTTCTACATCCTCAAACTTAACTTATTACACCCTGTTGCTAATAGTAATCACTAGCAGGAGGCTAATGGTTAATTACTGCTGACCAGCAAGTAGCCAGCTAAAGGTCGTTGCCATTAGCTTGCTGTTATTAGCCTGTAACCATTAGAAAATTAACTTTAATGGAGTAGAACATGAGATAAAACCTTTACAGATTGTAGGAATAGTTCATAAAGTTATGTTTAGCTTGATAAAATAAATAAAAAAGAACAAGAATGCATTCCAGTCTCGATTTAATTCGCTGTTGCCTTACAGTATCAAGACCTTAGATTTGAGAGCAGTTCACTTTCTGTGTGTCCAGTCAACGCTTTCATAGAATAAGAACCTAGTCTGGTCACAAAACGCTTGGTCTGTTTTAGAAACAGTAGGCAAATAGAAGTACAAAAACTTGCAAAAAGTGAATGTTGCACATTGTGTCCCTTTTAAATGAGGTGTTACCTTCTCATATCTTCAGGGAACGTCTAATGACCCAATCATTTCCATTATTGTTCCAAAAAAAACAACAACATGGGAAACAACCCTGAAATTTTCCATTGTTAGACGATTACAGGTGTTGCATCATCATCTACCCTCATTTCCTGTGTCATAATCATCAAATTATGTAAACGTGAAGATTGTATAAAGGATCCTAAAATGGATTTTTAAATAAACCACTATAGTGTTTCTTTTTTTCTTGGTTTATCCATCAGCTTCATCCTGCAGGACGAGACTAATCTCTTCCTTAATGATGATCCCAGAAGGTAGACTGCATGCTTATCAGACACCGCTTGTTTGAACTGAACCTTCCCTTAAAAATCCTGAAGTAACCCTGAAATACAACCTTTCAAACTCAAGACATTTATCGACATCTTTTTATGGCTTCTTCAAGACAGCCAGTTCTTCTCTTTATATGATCCCTAAAATATGCTAAAAACGTCCCTTTTTTAGCCAGTACATCCTGTTCAGATTCAGTCAGAACAAAGACATCAAACGTCAGGCCTTTTGTACCACTTTGGATCAATGCTGACAACCTCATTTAAATATGAATTAGATGGAGGAAAGTATGCTGCATGTAAATCTGACCAGACTGAGAAACCAGACATGCGTAATGCATTTAACAAAAAGCACGTTTTTCTGTCACATTACTTCAGTAAATTTGTGTAAAATGCTGGTCTTGTAAAAAAAAACAAAAACAAAACAAAAAAACCCAGAGTGTTCAGACTCACCACTGAAATCGCATCTTATTAGACAATAATGCTACTAAAGATACAACACTGAAGCATTTTAGAAGATTCAGGAAGTTTAAAATTGTTCCTCTGAGTTAAGAGCTTTGCTCAGAAATAAACAATAACCAAAGGATGAAAATCTGACATCTTTGATTTTAATGTGTTTCAGACAGTCTATCTGCAAGCTGTTAAACTTTAACAGATCTTGAACTTCAACAGAAACTAAATAACACCTTTAGCAAGTTTAATATGTGTTAAGTCCTTGTTTATTCTGACATTTATCTCCACAAATCTCTGCACTAATCAACATACTTTCTCTGCTATCATCTGGTCTCTGTCGCGCTAACCACACAGATGCATTTGCCACAAGCATTTTCAAATTTTTCCCCGCACGCTTAGCTGTCTCTTCTGGAAAACACAGCCATCAGACAGGGCTTTCTTTGGGAAGCCAAAATTCCTCTGCATTGGCTCTGAATTTTTTTGGCATTCGAAGGAATGTGTTTTTTTGACAGCGGTTCCCATTTTCAGCGCTCGTCAACTTGCCGTTCGCACACAGAGACGTACGCGAACGCTCTGAACTTCGCCAGCTTGTCCCGCAGTCTGCCGGCGTCCCTGTTCTGTGACAAGCTGCAGGCCGCTTCAGTTAGCCGGGGTCAGATGTTTACTAGGGTCAGCAATTTAATCACTGCTGAACACAGAGAGAAAACATCAAAGTGTAATTTAACTGGTTGTAAAGCAACAGGGCACCCTCTTAGTTTTTATGGAATGGGACAGGGAGGGTCAAGTGAAGCCAAATAAAAGAAACACTATAAATTAGTAACCTGGGGAAGGGTTAATGACAAAACACTAAATAGGGGAAGGGAATGCTTTTAAACAGAGTGCTCTAAAAAAAAATCCTCCCTCTGAACACTTAAAGTTGATTGCTGTTTGCTGCAGTGGCTCTCCATGTATCACACCTTATATGAAGTAAATACAAAGCAAATATCCCATTAGGTTTGGCTGTCAACAGGTGACAATGGATTTATGTCTGCCGACGTGTTTCATGCTGGATTTTTGTTTTCCACTAGTCAGGATAAAGCCTGATGCTGAGCGTTGTTTCCTCAGTGGAAGGGAGGCTCCCAGATGTTCCTGAGGAGAGATCTACGCGGCTCAGAGAAGAATGCAGATTCCCTGGGAAACGGAGGAGTCTTTCTGCTAAGCCTTGAGAAAAACTGGCGTCTGTACCGTCACAATACTACCAACCACTGCTGAACCAGCACAGGGCAAAGTTAATTCAGGTTAGGTTATAGTTTTGCTACGAATTTACAGCGCA